GACTCAGAGAATTGGTACTGTGTAGGTGGGAAAATAGTAAACATTCAAGGAGCAACTAACAGAACAAGTATATCATGAAGGAAGGTGTTCAGACGGACTGACTGACAGAACAGCGTTGCAGATCAGGAAGCAGATGTAAGGGACGAAGCGAAGCAATTAACCAATCAGCTGACGCGCCAGGAGTATTCGTTTGATTCTTAATAAGCCCAGTCCCTGCATACTGATGCACGCATCCGGAAGATGTGCAAAATGTCTAGATGGGTGCAGATTTAGGAATTATATGAAGATTCTCTTGATCAGATTTATACCGGCAACTTTGCCGAAATACGACATAGGACTTCAACGCCTTGATCAAAGAAGAGTAGTCGGAGAGCATACGTAGGCTTTCGATAAATTATCATCGGGCCATTACATGACGAACCTCCCCAACAGCGAGAGTTCGGGTATTATACTCAGCCAACCGGGTCCTGCACGGCGAAGGATAGGTTGCCAGCTCAGACCGCTTCCATGTGCATCTACTCATTTGCTTGCTCCTGTAGAGCAGGATATAGCAGTCGCAAGAGTCAGCGCTTATCCGAAGGAATACGGGAGTACCTCTCGGCACAGCTAGAAAAAAGGTGAAATCAGGAGCATGAACAGTGCAATTCTTGTCCATCTAGCAACAGTGGAAGCGACCACTATCAGGTTGAGGAAGTCGCAAAAGAACTTCCTGCAAGCTCGGCACGGCCAACGGTCACATAGCTGCCTGCATTTTCCCGCGCTTTCTCTCTCCCTTTCCCTGGTCCGGCTTCAAAAAACCCTCATTGCCACGTAACCAGCCGCCTATTTTCAACCCCCAACCCCTCCCCTATTCCCATGACTAATTTACATGTAATGATGAACGTTATTGCTCGCATGTTCACCCTTCACCCCTTCTCATATAAATGTAATGGCCCGAGAAGAATTTATCGAAAGCCTACGCATACTCGCCGACTACTCTTATGAATCCCGTGATGGGAATTTCTGCAGCCATGATGAAAATTATAGTTTTCGGCTCCTACTTTTTACGAGAATAGGCAACATTGAATCTACAGCCGGACGACCGAATCTCACGCCTCTTGCAGGAGGCATGGCACGCGCACGCGGATTCTATCAATAGGCATATCGATCTCCCAGATGCCTATCTCGCGTTGCGCGAGCAATGTCAGGGCTCAAGGTCACTTGCGGCGGAGCGAACTATGGGAACTCAAGGTCACCCATGGCAGAGCTGATTTAATCACGCAGCGAGCTGCACGTTTTCATCCCTTGACAATGGCCTCGAGTGAGAGTCCGAAACGTCGGGCGGATACAATACTGGTCCAGAGAGCGTCTTCCCGCTTTCTATACTAAATTAATAAGCTGGCAACTTAGCAAAGAGAGAGGTGAAAGTTGACGCTTTTTGCTCATCCTAATAGTTGACCTTGCATATTCGGCCAACGTTTTTACGAAACAGTTTTCGCCTCATCATATACTCCCCAGTGAGCATGGCACAACGGAGTCACGGCACTTCATTCGAGACAAACAGGTGAAAATAGTGTTCAGTGTGAACTTAAAATAGAGTAAAAGGATAGTTTAGTCGCTGTTCCAAGTCTGAGAGTAGTAGTCAGCACGCAGTCAAGGAACAATCAAAATTACCTCTCAGCATCCAAAAGGTTCGAAATTTGGTCCCAATCGCCACGAGCCACAGAATTTCGGAGAAGGAAAATCAGGTGATCGAAGACGGGTTCCTTCGCTACTTCGATGCCGGTAGAATTGTCAGCAGTGAAAAGGAAGGGGAGCAAGTGGAATTTCGAAAAGCTGCCATTGGGGCAAGACTGGCTCCCCGTGCTGGTGGTCACTTCCGGCAGTTGCCACTGCGCAAGACGCCAGGCAACGTTGGATCTGGCCTGCAGCAAAGCCTGTGAAACTTCTGGGGAAAGAAGATCTGTAGGAAGGACACAAAAAAAACAAAAGCGAATTTCAAGGCGAAAGTTATAGGAGTAAATCCCAGGGATGCTACCTCTTTTCCGTATCCCGACTTTCAAGCAAACCCTCGATCTAATCACAAACCTATCACTATCAATCAATCTCATGAAACGGGCAACTAAAAGGCTACGAATAGGTTTATTTTAGAAACTCAGACGTTGCACTGCTTTTAGAAGATGCGAACCCGCAAATCTGTGTAAGTTGACGCTCTAAAACACAGTATAAACGCCCACTCGCAATCTTCGGGTTAAACGTCCTAACATTTTCCTGCCCTGAGCGAATCCAGTTATTTCAGAAGATGAATTGGCGAACATACGTTTGTTTTCGATAAATTATCGTCAGGCCTTTACATTTATACGAGAATTTATCGGAAACAAACGTATGTTCGTAAATTCATCTTCTGAAATTTTCAATGGGAATTTTCGCAAATTTAAGAGAATCCAGTTATGTCTTATTGCCGATTGGTCACCCACAAAAAGCAGATATCTACATTAAAAAGAAGATCCAAGCACCCAATACGTCGGTAAATGCTTTAAAGGAATATAATGATTTTGTACTATTGATAAACACATAGAACATAATGTATTATTGGGAGTAGTTAACTAAAAGGACTGAAAGTGGTGAAATACTTACCACTATTGAAAGACGGTCTGAAACTCATCGTACTTCAACACCAGAAATAGTTAAAAGAAATTTGGTGGGAGAAAAATTCTTTTAATATACACTAACTAGTACGTTTCCGATTGCTCCTACTTCATTAAAATTTATTATTCCCTGAGAGAGCTTTCAATAGGTGGCCTTAGAAAAAATCTATTTCTGACTTTCCAACCGGTGAAAACCAGCGAAAAACTGGTTGTCTTAGTCAACAACATATCAATGGGAACAGCCAATCCTTGTAAAATGGTATTAGAAGGTATACTAAACCTGCAGGCTGTTTAATAGGGGTCACAATTGGTATTGCACTTATTCTTGGGGATATTTAAATGCAAACTGTACTAAACAACTATTTTAAACGATATTTTACTTGCGATTATTTATTTAGTCGTTTCTTTGCATGGACAGGCTGTTTATAATCTAAAACCTAAGAAAATTTAGTCAAAAGAATGTTTGAAAATTTCAGAACTTTCCACTTTTCTAAAACGTTGGCTTTTTGGACAAAGTAACAGTACTCTAAGCTTAATTCCTCTAAAGTCATTCATTAGTATTTCAATCGCTTGCTGCACATTTACTGGTGCTAGTTTGCGAGTAATTACCAATTCTTCTTAAATTTCAACAGGCTTCCTGGGATTAATAACATACTGTAGATTCAAGCAATAAATAGAAGACCAAGCGAACCTGGAATTTCCTGTGAGTAGCTACAGAACGCATTATTAGCTCCGAGTTCATGCAGTTGGATGGCCAAAGAGGCTTCAGCGGACGACGAGGAACTCCGATCTGAGGTCGAGACCAGATTGTCATACCAGGAGAGAAGCCATGGATTATTCCCTTCGGTCTCATTTATAGAGAAGCTACAGAAGTCAGAAAAAAAGGGTCATTACCAAAATAACCTTTTGAAATGCTGGCGAAATTAGGTAAAACGATACTGGCAAGGTTTTCAGATTTAAAAATCTACAAATAAAAATACTGGCTACACACACGCATTCAGAAGTGCTCATAATGCACCATAAGCGGTCAGAAGTAAGCAGGGTGGATATAGAAGAGAAACTAACCGCATAAGGTCGCTGAGTTCGCCATCTACGAAAGGTGCCGTAGCCAAGTTCACGTGGGCATCTTGAATGGCAGTGTAGACAGCCTTCAGGCCTGGCACGTCGCGTTGCACACGACAAAGATCAATCCACACGCGAGGAACATCGTCTGTCTCGTAGAATACTTTGGGTCTAAAATGAGCATAGTGCGGAGAGGGAATTTTGTGAGTAACAAGCCTACAATGGTGAGGTTTACGATAGGAGAGCTTACTTCTCTGGTGAAACAGCTAAAAAAGCAGTTTAAGTTACTGCAAAAACTTATGAATTCACCAAAGCAGTAGGCAATAACCAGTGAAATAAGGTCCGAGAGCCAGGGATCTGCAACTCAGCGATTTACAAGAGTGAAGGGTGGTTGCTGGAAGTTGATAGAACAGTTGTATATCAAAGTCGAGCGGTATTTGTTCATCAAAAACCTTTAAAAAAAACAGTATGATCACTAAAATAATTTCTTTCGGAGTCCAGACCCTTTGAAGTGTAGCGGTCTATGCAGTGGCTGTACTCGGATCACTACAATCATCAGATCGAATCCCAGGTTGGAGTAAAAGGCAAAAGTCATCAGAGAGAGGGATTTGTTGTGCACAAAACCCTGCATTTCTGCTTCAGTGGCCACTGGCGAAGCCAGGTCTGATGTTAGCTGTGCCCTGTCGTGCCCGAGAGTATGTGCATGTCTGTTGTGATGGAGAGGGAGGGAGATGACAGTTGTTTTTACATGATTGTGGAATGAATTCAAGTGGTGTGCTATTTTTGTGTTGCATTGTCCGATAGGGGTCTTACCTGTTGCATTGAAGGGGGGGTGGCATTTTGGTGAAGTTATATAGAGGGGTCGGATATTTCCCTATCTAGAATAACCAACTACTCACAACATTTCAGTAGGTTGAATTACTTACAATCTTCCGGTTTTCTACACGCCACCCATCGTTCCAGCTGGGATTTGCTGAT